ACATATTTAAATCATGATATAACAGTTTGCTGACTGGGGATGACTCTTACATCCACAGCCTATATACTCATCCACTATGGCACTCAGCAGGTTATCACTTTACCTTGACATGGTGTATATGTATATATATATAAACAGTCCAAAGCTTGATGTAGTAATACTAATCCAAATGATTGCCGTTATATGTTTTAAATATATCTAAGTGAAGAATTTTTAGGTCTGGGTGGCATAATTGGCAGTGCATTTCATGGTAAGTAGGGGTTGCAGATTCTAATCACACTCCAAGCTAATTATTTTCTTCCAGACGGTTCTAAAAACTATTTAATAAATTTTAAATTATTATAAGTATTAATTCAGATAAGAGGTGGCACCTAATTTCTACCTCTAATACCAAATTACTTAATATCTAATTAGTAATAATAGCAGAAAATAGCCCAATTAATTATGGCAATCATTTGGATTAATGTTAATATATTATTTGGATCTTTATATATGTTTGTTTACAAGTCATGGTTTGCAAATTAATACAGTATATTTCTATTAACTGATGTTGAAGAGCATTTATTATTTAATAATGTATATGTTACCGCTAAAGCTCGAAATCTGTTAATTTGCAGATTAACTAGGGTGATCCGTTAAAGTTGCTAAAATTGTTCTATTTCTCAAATTACGTAGGTAATGTGCAGATTATCTAGGTCAGTGTTTTTCAACCTGTGGGTCGCGACCCCCAGGGGGGTCGTAAAGCCTTACACGGGGGGTCGCGGGTAAAAGAAAAAGACAAGTGTTTGTAGGTCCTACATTACATTAAAAAAAACTACAATTTCAGCGAGAATTACGGCCCACCCCAGAAAATGATAGCGGAAAAAGTGTTGAGCTGATCTGCAAAAAGAAATAAAAAGTAGAAACGTAGAAGCTGAAAATTCTGATCCTAAACAAAAAAAAAAGGTCAACATCTTCCTGTGCCGAATGTTATAATTAAAGGAAGTTTCATACTTTATGTGTGTTAAGTTATTGTCGATTCTTCTGAAATTTTCACTTTAATCAACAATAATTTGTCTCAACAGAGAGAAAATTAAATACATAGTTTTTAAAATCACTGATATAGTTTTAATATGGCCCTAGGGGGGTCGCCAGAATTTTTTAACTTGTAAAGGGGTCGCGTATTCAA